CCCCCCAACGGCCTGAGGATCATCGGATCCAGCTGGAGCCAGGAGCGCAACCTACTGTTCGGTCACAGTGGAGGCTCAGCCAACCAGAGCTCGCCGAGTTGCGGGCCCAGCTGGATTACCTGCTCGCCAAAGGATTCATCCGGCCAAGCACGTCGCCGTATGCAGCGCCGATACTGTTCACACCGAAGAAGGACGGGGGCCTGCGCATGTGCATTGATTATCGGGCGCTGAATCGGGTCACGATAAAGTCGCGTTACCCGATCCCGTGAACTGACGATCTGCTGTATCAACTTCGCGGAGCTCGATATTTCTCGAAGATAGACCTGCGAGGAGGCTACCACCAAATTCGCGTGTTCGCCGACGACTGCCCGAAGACTGCTTTTCGCACACGCTACGGCAGTTACGAGTTCACCGTGATGCCGTTCGGTCTGACCAACGCGCCCTCGACGTTCCAGCTCACCATGAATGGGATTTTTCGGGACATGCTGGACAAGAAAGTCATCGTGTATCTGGACGACATCCTGGTGTACAGCGCGACAAAAGAGGACCATCTGCGGGATTTAGAGGAGGTGTTCCGGCGTTTACAGGGGCATCGGCTGATTACGAAGGGGTCTAAGTGCGAGTTTCTGAAGCCGGAATTGGAATTTTTGGGGCATGTGGTTTCTGGCGAAGGGATCAAAATCGACCCGCGTAAAATGGACGCCATCGTTAAGTGGAAGCCGCCTACTAATATCCCTGAATTGCAGAGTTTTCTGGGGTTTGCTAACTACGTTCGTCGTTTTGTACCTAACATGGCAGGGATAACCAAGCCGCTGACCGACCTGCTGCATCACGACAGCGATTTCCGGTGGGGGGAGAAGGAGCAGTCCGCCTTCGACGCCCTCAAAAACATTTTGGGTTCGCCCCCGGTACTCCGCCTCGCCGACCCATCTCGACCGTTCGAAGTCATCACGGACGCCAGCGATTTCGCCGTCGGCGCCGTCCTGCTACAGGACTTCGGCCAGGGGCTGCAACCCATCGCCTACGAGTCACGCAAGATGCAGCCACCCGAGCGCAACTACCCAGTCCACGACAAAGAGATGCTGGCCATCGTCCATGCATTTCGCGTCTGGCGCTGCTATCTCACGGGAGCCGACGTGACAATTCGGACCGACCACAAATCGCTACAGTACATGCGCACACAACCGACACTCAACCCGCGACAAATCCGGTGGTTGGACTTCCTCGAGTCCAATTTTCGGTACACCATCACGTACAAGAAAGGCGCCAACAACATCGCCGACGCCCTCACCAGACCATCCATGCAAAACGCGGCGGTACTAATCGCCCATACCAACCCGATGCTGACGGGACTATTCACCCACGGCTACAAGATCGACAGATTTTTTCGGAACCCGCAACAACAGGCTGCCACACCGCACGGCAAGTACTACCTAAAAGCCGGTACGAACCGGATTTGGGTACCAGCATACCAGCCTTTACGGGAGCTGCTGACGCAGGAGGTTCACGACTCCAACCTTTCCGGGCATTTCGGCACCGACAAAACACTGAAGCTGCTCCAGCGGAATTATTACTGGCCGGACATGCAAACCGATGTGCAGCGCTACGTGTCAACTTGCCCGACCTGCCAAGCAATGAAGTCGTCGCGACAAAGGCCAGCCGGACTGCTGCAACCCCTCGCGCCACCCGAACGACCGTGGCAACAGGTGACGATGGATTTCGTCACAGGGCTTCCAGCTGGCACGAGTGGCAACGACTCGGTGATGGTCGTCGCCGATCGCCTAACGAAAATGGCGCATTTCGCCCCATGCCGAACGACGATCACAGCCGAAGATACAGCCAAACTGTTCATCTCCACCGTCGTACGCCTACACGGGCTACCCTCGGCGATCATCAGCGATCGTGATCCGAAATTTACGTCGAAGTTCTGGCAGGAGACGTGGGCACAGTACGGTACCCGCCTGCAGTTTTCGTCGTCATACCGACGGACAGACGGAACGGACAAATCAGACCATGGAGCAACTGATTCGCACCAACTGCCCAGATATTAGCAAGTGGGAGGATTCGCTGCCGATGCTGGAATTCGCGTACAACAACGCCCCTTCGGCCACGACTACAATCGCCTTTCTTCCTGAATTACGGGATAGACCCCGTGGTACCCTCTTCAACAACTGTGTACAATCCGGTACCACGATCGCAGCAGTTTGTCACGGAGCTGCAGACAGCCCGCACGAAAGCAGCCGATTTCATTCGCACAGCTAATACCACGGCCAGTCGCCAGGCGGATAAACATCGACGGAATTTACCTTTCCGCGCAGGGCAAATTGTGCTTCTAGACACCAAGAACCTCAGGCTGCCGCAGCCCGCGAAACTCCGGCCCCGATACGTGGGACCATTTCGTATCATCCAGATGGTGACACCTGTCACCGCGAAGCTGCTGCTGCCCGACGATTGGAAAATACATGACGCTTTCCACGTCAGCCTGCTGCGTCACTACGAACAACCGCAGTCGCCAACTGTTGCTCGGCCAACTCTCGCGCCGACCACACGCCCCGTGGCAGAGCCGACGCTGGAACCTTGGAAGATTCTCAACCATCGCGTGGACGTGACTGCCGCCGGCCGCTCGGTGAAATTTCTGCTTCGCTGGAAAGAACGCACGAGCGAAGACGACACGTATGTCGCTGCTGATTCGCTCCTGGGACATCCGGTTGTGGATGCTTACCTGGCCCGCCGAGGTGTCTCGGATATTCACCACCTTTCTTAAAGGGGGGGGTAGTGTAAGGAATTTTTCCGGATTCCTTACTGGGTCACACTGTATGCGTACAACCTCGGTTTTCGGAGAACCAGGCTCGGTCCGCCGACCTCGCCTTCCGAACCACCATCGCGTCGCCTTCGGGTTTTCCAACCCCGAACCTGCACCCAACCATTTCGCGACCCCGCGACCTCGGCCTAGCTAGCTTCGCTATATTAGTCCTAGGCCTGGTTGTGTTCTCAGACGTTGTAATCACTTCCGCATTATTGAGTTCTGCGCACTCTTTCCTTTCACAACTCATAACACTAGATACAAGTTGTAATTCCTTCGAACTGTCATCTACATTCACCTTCGAGTCCACCTCGCGAAGCCACGTCAACATTTTGGCACTCGGGCCTACTCCAGCAATGCTGGGAACTGGGCTCGCTGCTCCCTTTATCACCTTGCACGTGGTCCCAGTTTCCAGCTGCGCAGCGGTGGCAATGCGTCAGCATAACCTCACCCCACCACACCACATCCCTGCATCGGGCCGCGAATTTCCGCGTCGCATAACAATTTCGTATCACAGCCTCCAGTTTCCAGGTCGACAGATGTGCTTGGCCATCGTGCGGCGTTAATTCGCTAAACCTTTTCGCAAACAGCGCGATTGGTGGTTCTGCAGGACGGTTGGTTCCCTCCAGGTCGGCGAATTAGCGGCGCCTGGCGCACTGCTGGTTCAGATTTGTTCGCAAATTCCCACATGGCAGTAGCGCCAGCCGCCGCCACAAGAAATGGCATGTCAGCCGATGGCTTGTCTCAGTCGGCTCTCCCTCATCCTCGTCCCTCTCCCAGTCTCGCACTCGATTCTCGCTGCTTTTTCATTTGCTCAATCCACTCCTGGTCCGATTCTGATCACATGTCGTGTTGGGTTTACCTGTCGGCTTCAGCTGATAACAGCGCAAAATCGCTTTCACGATTTCAGAAGGCCAGACCATCTGATCCTTTTTCTTCCTCTCAACCTAAATAGTGCACGCACCTTCCGCAAGGCTCGATTCGTCTCTTCAATCGAGCCACTTTCGCATCGTTTGGTAGCCTTCGACCATTCTGGTCCAAGTGACTCCTCATTTTTCCACTACCGTCGACACACGTAGTAGCCGCCGCGAAGAGTGAACATCTGTAGCTGGAAGGAGCCTGCTTCTCGTACCTCGACCGAAACCGAACGGACGGCCTTTCGAAACGGAAACGGGACGAAGTCAAAACGTGGGATCGAATCTTTCCGGGATTCCGAAAGCGAATCGCGCAAGGGATTACAAGTGACACGTCACGTCGATCCGGCAGTGAATCCGCGTACGCTGCGACGGCACTGAACTCCGCAGCGCTTGCAAGCGAGTGAAAAACCTTAGAGGACCGCCTCTGTACTTACACTTCGTGGCCGTATTTAATTCCTCGTAAGCTCGCATTCTGCCTAAACCGAAGCGTTGAGCCATCAGTCAAGAGGAGCAGCAACATACATTATCGCTAACCACTGGTGAGACATTTAGGTTTTCTTACGACACCGTTCATCGAGATTATCCTCGTTATAGCCATGGCTGTTCGGATCAACGTTTCCTCAGTCGCGCACATGCGCGGAACACTCCCCGCAGCACTCCCCGCGCCCGTCGCCGCCTGTCGTTCCACGCCTCCCGCGGCTCAAGGTTCCGCCTGTGTTTCCGCGCTCGGTAGCACCCTCCGGATGCCCGGAGTTGACGCTTGCTCATTCTACTCTACCTTCTCCAGTCGGCTAACCGTTACAGCCTCGCCGGCCGCCGTCAGTTTCGTCGTCGTCTCAAATCTGGATCGCGACATCGCCGGCAGTTCCGGCGCAAGTCCCGCTGGAAATTCTGGTAAAAGCTGGCGGAAGGACGGGGGGCACCGCGCGAACACTCTCCGCGCGCAAGCCGCCATCCTTGCACCGCCGCCACCTGTCGCGGAAGAGCCGGACGCAATGACGGACACGGGCAGAGGCGGGGGAGGCGGCGGATCATTTCGGGCCGGAAACGGCGACGACGGCGGAAACAACGGGGACGGGCGGTCTGGGGGAAGCGGAGGCGGCGGAGGCGGCGGGGGGGATGCTGGCGGAGACGAGAACGGGAGAGGGGGGGATTTCGGCGCGCTCTTAGGATGGCCGCGCGTCGAGGCGGTTTTGCTGCGGAAGGGCGTAACGCTTCCAGAAGATATGCTGCTACACGCACGGGAGCATGGTATATCGGAAGTGATTCTACAGAGGTTCATGGACCTGCAGAACTCGTCTCTGGGCCCCGCTATAAGCAACTGCGCGGCGCTTCGCAACCGGCTGCTGATGGATCCGTCGTTCCTGTTCAAGGTTTTCACGGAGGTGAGTAAATCGATCGAGTCGGGGTCGCGTGGTTAACGGAGTTGCCTGATGGAGTCCGTTTGCGAACTCGCTCTCGTCCTTCGCTGTTCCACTTGAGTTACTACTACATCCTACTGACGCTTTCGCAAATGTTTCGTTTTCCTCAGATCGCCATCGACTGCGCGTGCGCGACGTTCGCAGAAGTGCAGAAGCGAGGCGACGATTTCTGGAAGGAGTTCGACCTCTACCTCTCGGATATGCTCGTCGGAATCATTATGGGCGGCGCCGTCGTGGGCTCGCTCGCGCCAGCCGCGAGATTCGCCACGTCAGCAGCTGGTGGACGGTTCCCGCGCATTTTGCCGCGTGGGGTTTCTGCTGCGCTCTCGGCGCTCCCAAGCAGGTCAGTAAAGTGGTTGGCTAAGGTCATTGAAACCCGAATTCATTGGAGCCTTGATCCACTGTGTGCTCTTGCCTTGACTCTAATTTTCCCCTGTTAACGATTTCTGGGCCATTTAGAAAACGGTCTCTTGTCACGTATGGCTGATTCTTACTTTCATTTCCCTCTTATGTCCCGTTGCTCCTATGTCCCCACTCCTGCCCCCCTCGTTTTGATAACAGTGTGTTTGAGGCATCCCTTCCGGGTCATAAGTTTTCGGCTGCCCAACGAACTGTCACTCTCTTCGTCAAGGTAATAAATCTGCTCGCGTATCCCAACCCAAACTTTTCTCGCCCAAAGCTCCTCCATTATCTCCGTCGTGCATCAATTCCCTCGCTGCCCTGTTTGTGAAATAAAACTGATTTCATGTGACAGTGCAGGGACACTTTGCTACATAGCCATCAAGCTTACCACCGAAGTTTCTTCTTTCCCCAACACCTCCAATCGTCCCGAGCTTGCTTTTCGAAAGCTGTCCTCTCCTCATCCACCTCCATCCCCTTCCCTGTTTCCTCCCTCTCTTCACAATGCCAGGGCGTTGAGTATGGAGGGTTTGGCTTCTCATCGGGCCTTCTGGGTCAGGGGATCGCTAATGGCGTGATGAATCTGAAGAGGTACGTGCTGTAGTTTCGCTTTTCAAGAGTAGCATTGTCATTGGAGGAGTACCCTTATAGCTCTGTTACAATGTTACAGCATCGGCACTGCTTGCTCGGGAGTGCTGAAAGGCTTGTGTTTCATTCCCGTTCGCTCCCAGCACATCCCACCTGAGCATTCCATACGAATTCACATATTCCAATATCCTCCTCTTTGTTTCTCCCGCTCTGCCAATGATTTCAGAAGCGTGCGTCAGAAGGGAGAGCTTGCTCATACAGAGGACAGCCACATCAAACCACCACCGCTCTTCAAAACTGCCCTCCTTTGGGGAGCTTTCATGGCAATTTCCTCAAACCCTAGGTACCAGGTCGTCACAGGTTTGGAGAGGCTGGTTGATGGCTCGGCGGTGGCTCGGAGCCTGCCATGGCTATCGGGCTCGTTTACGGTGGCAGTGAGGTTTGCTAATAACATTTATGGCAGCAGCCAGTTTGTGGACTGGGCGCGGATGGCAGGAGTGCAGTGATGCAGGGATGCAAACTCGTCATCAGGTTGCTTGGAACGGCTCTTGTACATGGTATCAGAGGACCAAACACACTTTGTGCTGGAGGGGGAGACTTGGTGATGAGTTGGAAAGAAGCGACCCATAGGGCTGGTATCACTCTAGCATGGATGGATGGATGAGTCTCAACATCAATTCTGTAGGATTGGTGTAAGTTGGCAACTTTTGCTATATATTTCTCTAGTATGCTTTTTGTAACCAATATGGAAGATATTGTTCCGTGATATATTGATATGTCTAACGTAGGTGGTGAATGTAAATGACAGTTCACCCATAGTTTAGACTATGTAAACCCACATTAGCTAAACCATCGTTAGCACAAACTAGCCCATAACGAGTTACATCATGGAGCCTCAACCGTCCTGCTCCAAATCTCAGTACGACGTGGCACTCTGTGAAAGGAGCATTGTGCTTTCCCGAAACATCACTTGTCAGAACCAATTGTGGCTGTCCTTTCGCTGAGAGCAGCAGCTGTGGTTGGCTGCTCCCGTGCTGTGAACCCATTCCGCGCACGTCGTGGATGTCAGGGTAGCAGGCGCTGGAGCGGAATTATGTGCGCAGCGCAAATACATATAACGCAATGCGCGCGCGTCGGGGATCCCCACCAAAGAGAGAGGGGTTGGCCCCCCAACCAACGCGGTTTGGGGGAAATGAGGGGAATGCGAAGCGAAGCTGATGGTTGGTGCAGATCAGTGTGGCGGAGGTGTGGGAGGATGGAGGAACGGGAGACGACACTTCGGCTTGACGAGGATGGAGGGTTCCAAAATGAGCAATTTCTCGAGATTACTGATTTCGATTCCCACGAACACATTCTAGATCTTGGGAACCCCTCCCTGTTATGTGCGAAATATGAACTACATTAGACTCTCCGATGTACGGAGAATGGAATAGAGAAGCTAAAAGAAAACGTTCGGGTGGGAAAACTTAGCATCATCACCAGTGGGATGGTGGGTGGTACGGAACGGAAGCCGCCACAACACGCCGAGGAGAATGACGGGCACAGAACCGACAAATGTAAGCATCTCACCTTGAACAACCTCTTCTCTCTCCGCCACGCATATGTACTCTCTTGCATTGAAAGCACCCCCTTCTGCCTCTCTTTTCTCCACCACACCACAAACAACCACCGCCATTCCACAAAATGAGAAAACGCCACTGAACGAGAAAATGGGGAGCGAGGAGAGCAGAGAGGAGCTGCACGCATACACGCACGGACCCAATCACTGGCAGGCTGATAGGTTCTGCTCCTTTGGGCAGGTCCAGCGAAAGTAGGTGGAGAGGGTTGTCTCGTTGCGGAAGCCAGCAGAGCAATGAGCTGGATGCCACGCCAATAGTTGCCGCAACTCGAGGCGTTGTGCAACTGGAGTTCAGTTCATTATGAACGGAGTCTCCTAACCTAACCATAGGTCACTAAACCAATGCGATTTCTGCACATCTGTTAGGTCACTCTCCGCTGTAGTTTCCTTCCTTGGCTCCTCCTTAGTGTTCGCCTGTGCGTAGACAGTGAGCAATTTGCTAACTTTCTCGCGAAACCGTAGACCTAATTTGCTGTGCCGGTACATAAGAGACTAGCCGGAGTCGCGTCGTCTGCGGTCGTGGTCGAGCTGTATTTATGAAGCTACACTTATAGTTCACGTGCGTCTAAAACTGGCTGATAGCAGTTCATCCGCAAAAGCTTCACTTTAAAACCGGTCCCTGAGAATATCGAACTACTAGTTGTCAAGCACTTGACGATCTTGTCGTGCTTCGTTGCAGAACTGTTAGCGGGGTCACTTATTGCCCGCTTTACGATCGGCCTTCCATTTCTGTTCCCTCTTTCATTTCAATAGAAGCGTACCGCGCAATGGCGCTTTCGGCCCTCCTTAGCTTTCCTAGTTCTCACAGTTACGGCTCGTAGCAGGACCGTTTTGAGTCGTCTCACTCTAGTCATCCACGGGTTGGCAAGTGTTTTGAGTCATTCCAGCAGCTTACGTCCTCTCTTTCCCACCGTCTAGTATCCGTTCCGATAATTATTTCAAGAGGCAGCTTCCCACTAACGATAGTATCAGCGCTCTGCCTGATAAATACACTCAATTTATTCAACGTTCTGTTATTAAATAGAACAGATATTTGTTGGGTTGTGGTAACCAGATGGCCACCAGTCGGCAACGTGGTTACGTTCAACCACTGTCGGGCGGAGAGGAGCAAGGCGGGCCCATGTCCCCCTACGCGCAGCCTCGCCGGATGGCCCCCGGCGGAGGGGGAGGAGGAGGGGACGGTCCCCCCGCGCGCAACCCTGGCCGCGGACGCCGCGTAGCCGGCGGCGGCGGCGGCGGCGGAGCCCCTCAGGCGCAATTCACGAGGATTAACTCGATGATCTACCAGCCGTCTCCGCAGCAAGAAGAGCAACCGGCAGAGCCCCGTTATAAGCGCACTATGTCTATGGTCGCCCCCGCGCCGAACAACAAAACGCCCCCGCGCGGAGTTAGAGCAGCAGGCGCGGGGGGGCCGCATGCCGGAGGGCCAGGCATGGGCGCCGGGAGGGGTGGGCGGGGGAAGCTTCCACACTCGTCGTCCGTGGGCGGACCGGAAGGCGGAATGCGCAGGGGGGTGGGCGCGGTCGGCGCGGGGGTGGAAGACCCTTTGGCGGACCAGTTTGGGCGGAGCATGACGGTCGGAACTAAAGCGCCCACTCCGCGCGGACCTGGTGCGGGGAGAGGCGCTGGCGGAGGCGGCGGAGGCGGGCAGTTTGGCGGCGGAGAGCCGGAGATCGGACGGTCGCTAACGGCCACTGACGGTCGGCACCGGTCGCCGTTAAGACAGAACCCGCACGCGACTGGGGGAATGGGTGTTGGGGGGATGATCACCCCGCGGAGGACCCAGGCGCAGCAGATGGTGGCGGGCGGAGGGCGCGGCGGAATGGGCGGAATGGGGGGGATGGGGGCGGGTCCGGGCAGTCCGTACCGCCAACGCGCGGGGAGCGGGTTTTCGCAAGGCGGGTACATGGAGGGAGGCGGAGAGTACAACGACGAAAGCGACGGGATGTACGGCGAAGACGGTTACCACCAGAACATGCAACGGTCGCGATCTACCGGCATGGGGATGATGGGCGCAGGCGGGCGCATGGCGGGCGGGGGGATGGCCATGGGGGGAATGGGCGGCGGAATGCCCCCGCATGCGCCTGGCGGAAGGGGAATGGGCGGAGGGCGCATGAGCATGGGGGAAGAGCACTACTACACTTCGGACGCGTCAGAAGGGGGGCCCGGCGGGGGCGCGTATCCGCGCAGCCGGTCGGTGAATCCGCGCTTGGAGGGCGCGGCGGAAGCGGGGGGGATGGCGGCGCAGGGGAAGGCGGGAAAGGCGGAGGTGGACCCGTCGGAACTCCCCATGCTTCCCCCTCCGGGCAGCCCGCAAGTCGTGCAGGTAAGAGCTCTCGCGCGCTTACTCTTCCCTTGTCATTACCTATAGAAGCTCCCCTTCCTCGTCTCTTTCCTCCCGGCAGCCTGCAAGTCGTCCAGGTAAGAGCTCTGGCTTCTATCCTCTCATACCCTCTCCTTTCCTCTCTCCACTGTCCTTTCCGCTGTTTTATCTTATCCCCCCGACTGTCCTTTCCGCTGTTTTATCTTATTCCCCCGACTGTCCTCTGTCCTCTTTTCGGTAGTTGTCGTTCTGATCCCCTGCTTCTCGTTCTCGCGCTTTATGACCTTCAATCTCGATCTGACTTTATCAGTTTAGGGTTCGGTACCCCTGGTACCCCTGGTTCGTTGCCCAAAACGCCGCAGGGGAGCGGTTTTGCACGAACGACTAAGAAAAAAATTAGCGGGCAATTCGTTGTCCTTCGGGAATAAAAAAAGCGTGTTAGCAGAACGGATGCATGATAATCGCATCGTACCAACAGCCCAAGGCAACAAACAAAATGTAATGCGGCGAAAAAAGGTTGCTGCGAAACAAATACTTGCGGGAAGCTACAGCAAACTGCTGTTGCGAACGAAGCTGCTTTCGCGAAGCAAGCTGAAGATTCGCAGACGGAAAGAAGAACCCTGGCTGGTTGCAGACCGTTGCGATTTTCGCGAGGTCGGGCCTTTCCACTTCGCGCAACCTCATCAGTCACAGCCTCGTTCCACGCAACGTTTTCCTTCGCCCTCGTTGACAACCCCAAAGCGAACGTTGTTTGCTCGCCCTTGCGCCGCGAGTTGCTCATACAAACAAAATTATTCGACTCTGCCGATTCAGCCCCTCCTCTTCCGCCCCCAACACGCCCACCCATCCACGCTGCTCTTACGTTCTGAAAACCCCAGCGGCCCTTCCTCGGCGCTAAAAGGGCATGCAGAATCTGTTCTGCTGCAAGTGCATGCACGTCTCACTCCCTCTCTCCCTCCCCAATCCCCCACCACTCTCCTCACCCCCCTTCCACCTCTCTCCTTCGCTTCTCCTCTCCTCTTCTCCTCTTCTCCCGCCCTCTTCTCCCCTCTCTCCTCTCCTCCCGTCTTCGCCT